TGAACTGAACACTGTACCGAAATGATGGTAGATTTGTATCGGAAGAGAACTTTTTCAAAGAATTTCTTCAGTGTCGCTAATAACTATAGTTACCTTCATCATGGTGTGGACATGAGCACAAAGTTAACTTTTGAGTTAACCATTCATAATTCATAGTTATTAACGCTATCACATCACGGATATTATCATGTTGTTTTTTTTAAAGTAGACAACATTTATTATATGTTTTGCATGCACATCCGGGTGACTGTACATTGTCTGCATCCGTCCAATGAATCGCGATCACCCAGCTGATGCGGGTAGTTGGTTAAAACAATGGGTGCTTCAATGTGTGGGCAATTAGACGATGTTCGTATATCGGTGAATTGGTCACCATAGGGATAATTTTAAATGAATTCAAACTGTTACAGTAATAGACAAATAGATAGGTTACTTCGTAACAAGTAATTATCACGAGTCCATAAAACTATGGCGTGTCGTACCCGGCGTACACATTTACAATGTCAATGTTCACGAATAACTGTCAAGTATCGTACCAAATCACCGCCTCATACGGGCCTCGTTTCGTGCAAGTATACAGTTGACAATTATAAACAAGCTGTAACAATAAATATGAAAGGGAAAGTTGAAAAACTTTATGTATGCACAATGTTAACTGATTTTCAGATAACAAATATATTGGACTACTTGAATCCGGTGTATGTATACCTAGCATCCCTTGTAACCTACGCGACCGACACGGTCGGCGATTTGCGTAGTACAATTCATATCATGAACCGACAATGTCATGTCACAGTTTATATTCATTTATTATTGTACTGTATTTAGCAATCTACTCAACAAATGCTCACATCCCCAAAAAATGTCACTCATTGCTCAAATACAAGCTAAAACATTGAATAAATGACATGGGTGTGAGGTTTTTTGATTTTGTTCAATGTCGTTAGCGCTGGCGGATGTCCGGTGCATAAAAGTACTGGCATTGGGGGTTCCTTTGGTATTGTTTCGCTATAACGATGTGCGGGTCATGTCGAGTAATGACATTTTCAATGTATTGACACTTTCTTTCTCTTGAGTAGAAAAAAAAAACACTATACACAGAGGCACCAGGGTGCCGAGACTGAAGATCGTGCTCAGCTGTTACCCGCAATTGTTTTAACAATCTGCAATTGTAAAGACGAAATACGTCTCTTAATGTGCGTCTTGTCTTTGAGAGTTACCACTTTCAATATAGGTTTATTATAAAGACGTGATAACAAAGTCCAATCTTAATCTAGACCTAGATTTTGTTTCATACCTCCATCACTTTATTTCATTTTCTCTGCCCCTTTATTTCAGTATGTCCGATTGTATTACCACAGTTCCCTCACCACATCCACCACATACCCAGCCGCAAACAGGTTGTGACAATGTTTAGGGTACGTGTCAACGTGACAGGACTTTAATTCAGGAAAGACCTTGAACTGTTGCGCCGGTGGATATCAGCCATGGACGCGCGTAATTCCTTAATAAGCGTGCAATTCACGTCTAGGTACTGATGAATGGAACGAAGACAGTCCGGCACGTGCCAGATAACATAAGACAAAGCCGCCGACTTGGGGCACTATGGTGATTTCATTTTGACAATACAAAGAAATAATGGCGGCGGTCTTACTTGGCGAATCTAGTGAGGTATTTTATTTAAAAAGCAAACAATTACAAGTGCTCTGAAACTCTATCCGCCACGTGCCACTAAGCCGTTACTGAAAACATCCCACACAATGAGTTTTTTTTTCAAGAAAACGTACTTCATGGTTGAGTGCACGGGGGACGGCAACTTTTGATAAGTTGACTGGTATATGATAAAACGTTTATATCACCAATCGCGATCTCTCTTCGCTCTGCATTCTCTAAATGCCACGCCAATCCAGTGGCTGTTCGACTGGTCATTCTATCAGAAAAAGAAGTGCTGTTAAAAACATACAAGTAGAAAAAATAAACGCTTTCCCATGCTGGGGAAACAATATGTCATGTAGTGATGTATGCAGACTGCAGATGCTTGCACGTGTAATCTGGGGTTTGACTGAATCCAACCACCAAGGCGTGCACAAAATAAGAGAATTTCTTAGAACCAGGTAAATTGTTACCATGTTAAGTGGACAGTACTATGTAATTCTGCTCATGGACATGAAAAAATAAAAACGAAAAGAAAAAGAAAAACTGAGGAAGACGTTTACATAGCTCAGTAATGTACAAAGGAATGATGAATCTCCACCACGAAAAACGTCCGTCATATGCCAGCATGTCAGTTACAGCTGTGTGCGTGGAAATCCATGTTTACACTGCAAAATGTGACAGTCTCGGAAAGCTGATGGCCCGCACATTCGATTGTCCGAGAATAACCGAACGTTTAACGGCTAACATATCAAAATTATGCCCAGTTTTCAACTGATTGTACCCGAAACAGTTTAGCTCAAGTTAATTTAGTTATTGCTTAGAAAAGAGACGATATTGATAAACACGTTTATCTCCTCATACGAGTTGTTAGCTTTGAATTTTACGGTATCCGTTTTATATAGTGACAGAAACAACTCAAATACACCTCGCAAATGTATTCCAACATTTCAGAACAAATCCGTGTAGTGTACTCAGATATATAACGGAGCTTATTACTAATGTGGCTTTATAAATTTGTTTTAGAATCCCACTTTCCATCATATTCGTCTATCAACATTTCGGACCCTTCCTTAAGGTGTAGCACTGACTGCCTATGATTGTGATCATTATCGATCGTGTTCTCCCTTGTTGAAAACGTTCGGAGTCCCTCCATTTCCGGGTCGATTGCAATACTGTGACATTACAAAAGCTGATGTAATATGCCCGCATCGTGCAGCTGCTTCATATGATACAAAGACTTTCCTTAAAAACACGGGCAGTATGCACCCATGTGCCTCGCATGCACAAGAATAACATGCTTTCCACGATCCCCAGTCATTTGACCGGTCACGATGATTTGACGACCACTTGTGGATCGACCCTATACAAGAACGCCGTCGTGGTGAGATCACAAACAAGTGACTATTCAATAACCGAAGACAATCAATTATTATTATTAATATTAACTATTATTGTACAGTAAAACTGCTAAAACGTTACCACGTTAAAAACCGAACGAGTTTGTAATTAATATTAAAATTATATTGAACATGTTATAGCATTTAGACCCGAGAAAACGGAACGTGAACAAGTTCTATTGTGCTTATTATATGTAGCGCCACCAGCTGGACCACTAGGCAATAAAGACCCATATAACGACTATGAAAATAAAATCAATACCAAAATTACAATAACTGCCGCGCTGTAAAATTCGAGTGAGAGACAAAAAATCACATAATTAAATCTTTAGCCACGAGTTACATGTGTATTCGACCGACATGCACGCTCCGTGGCCAGGTGAGCGCCACGTCACTTCTTATCGTTTATTTTATCAGATGCGGCCGCAATTTTTTTATTCTATTTTTCATTCTTTCTCGCGAATGTCAGACTTGCGTCTCACCTAGAGATTTATCATATACAGTTGGAAGCCGACGTTTCTACTTTTCGATATGCCGGTGATAAGTTATCAAGAAGGGTTACGCCCCTGCAGCTGTATGCAAATGTAAACGCAGATTGCGCATTAGTATGATCCGTACATCTTACGGCAGTTGGAAATATCGCCATGTTTAAAAATAGCCCAAACTACTAAAATACAACCACGTTTTTTTAAAAAATCAAACAGAACTTGTCTATTAGACCTCTAGTAACGTGCAATCATTTTTATCAAACTTACGGTATATGTACGGTAGCGGTACGGTAAGTTTTGGTATTCTAAGTTCTTTTGTTTTTACGGAATAAATAAGTAAATATATAAGCACGCTAAAGTTGGTCATTGCATTCGTGGCTTCTGCCGTTTCAATGTCCAGAATGTATTTTTGCTGAAAATATGTTTATGGGTAACTTTGTATGGGTGCGTGGTCACGTAAAAATGTTTGAGTGTGTGTGTGAGTGTGCTTGGCAAAACACGATGTCAAAGTGCGCCACACTGCTGAGAACGGTAGCATCTGTCGATGTTTTAACGCGAAGCACACGGTCAGGAAATAGCAATACAGATACACTGTCAAAACATACATAGCGTATTCGAAGTGAGAACATGGCTGGCACTAAAAAGATGGAGAAAACAAGAATAAAAAGAAGGCAAGTATTTCCATTGATAGGCTTCTTGGGTGCATGTATGCTCAGTCAGACGTGTATTGAAAAGTACTCAGGCGAATAAACAAAAGGAGCCTGTTGTATAAGGCGAACCTGGTTGCGCAGTGCTTGGCGAAACCTGCCTTTGTTTTGATGGAGAGAGGGGGGGGCGAAAATCAGTTCGCGTGCCACTCGCGCGCAGCTCTCAGTGAAAAACAACAATGCAATTTAATGCCCGCCTTCGCTGACCAATGGGATAGAATCTCACTGACAGTTGATGGCGATAGCCAATCATACGAACTCTGGCACACAATCAATCATCGTGACAAGCGCCCCTCATTAAGTCATAATTAGCTTTTGCGTGGGAGAATGCAACCAGTAGTAATTTAAAAAGGCTCTTTAAGACGGCCAAATACCGCCGGTATACAAAGAGTGATCCATTCCAATTGTGACTACCATTCATGGTCATATCGTTCAATTTGCCGTATATCTTGCGTTTGGGGACACGGCAACCTACGAGAGTTTCACCTGCGTCTTTATTTTCGGCACTGATAGATGCACGGACACTGACTTTTAAGGTAGGAAATTAATTCTCGTGCCGTCCAGTGTACCAATAATCACCACGAACCAGTGAAAGAATCAGCAACCCAACCGAGAAGCTAAACAGCAAGGCACGTGGCCGTTATTCATATGCAAATGAGATTTCAACAAAGGAGGAGCCAAGCGCGTGTGCAATACATATGAATGAGTTTACACACATATAAATCATTTAAAGGGTACGCCTGACTACGACGAGTTCATCTGCTTAGGCATACATCAGAAGTTGGAGCTGGTCGGAATGCCAGTGACAGCATTTTGCTGAACGAGCCTACCAGATATCAGGGTGAAATTACTAGTAGTCGACAAGAGACGAGGAAAACACCACATTCTCGCACACAGAAGCAGGAGACGCCAGTACCGACCAACAACAGTACATGGAATAGCCATAATATTGATATTGAACCGTGCAGCGTCTTCTGGTGGACATTTAAATTTGACCAGCAGCCTACAGGTGTGCATCATCACATTGATAACGTATTTGTTCCATTGCCGCTTATGCGATTTTCCATCGTTGCAACAACCGTACCCTCTCGCCGTACAGCTGAACTCAGAGCTGCACACTGAACACCGCAGTTTTCTTCGGGAGTCTGTGCTTGTCGTTCTATATTTTACACACAACTTGGACATAGGGCACCATGCCGAGGGGATTTCTGGTAAAGCGCAAGAAGAAAACAGCGACAGTGTCTTATCGTTCGCGATACTCTGACGAGGATCGCAGCGACAGTAGTTCCGACCATGACCAATACGACACCTACCCAATGTGTCCGTTTCCAACTCCTGAACCAGGATACGTGAACAGTGCGTTCCCCTTCATTAGCACACACAGTGATGTTTTACATTGCGATAGAGACTCTAGTACAAGTTCCCCACTATCCACCCATTCTTTCCCGTCACCGCTGCCTTTTCCGTCTGCTACAGTTGATCGGGAACGTTTTACACCTCTTTCGCCATCAACGCCACCGGTATGCAGTATTAGCGTTCTCCCAAGTCCACCACCCACGCCAGGTAAACGCCAGATTCACAGTGTCGAGAGTGAACGCAAACCAAAGACGAAGAAACTGAAAGCGGCCAGGAAATTGAACTTTGATGATGATAACCGATCTCCCGTTCACGGAACAATCATCAAAAGCGACCCAGCTCTTGAAAACGTTGGAATTGACGGTAAATCAGAAGCGAAAATCGCAACACCCGAGGCCAAAGCAGAAATGGAAAAAATTGTCAACAAACTGGGAGAATACGTGTGCCAGCTTTGCAAAGAACGATACACAGACCCTTTTTCGCTGGCTCAACACAAATGTTCCCGGATAGTTCACGTTGAGTACCGATGTCCTGAGTGCGATAAAGTCTTCAACTGTCCTGCAAATTTGGCATCTCATCGCCGATGGCACAAACCCCGTCCAACGAATCGTGGAAACACTGCACCTCCGAGAGTGTTGGCGGCAGCTCCACCAAATGGGACTCTGATCGGAGCTCACGACGACGAAAAGAGATCGATTGAGAGCGGAGACAGCGACATCGAAAAAGACGCCAAACGAGTAAAACGGAACACGCCGGATATTTTCTCGGAGAGCGGTAGCGAAACCAACAGTAACCGAAACACCCCGAGTCCCATTGAGTTTACAGTCAGCGAAGATGGAATGTACGAATGCGAGCATTGCGCCAAGAAGTTTCGTCGCCAGGCATATCTACGGAAGCACATGCCCTGTCACGACGAGGGCGGAAACGAAGATCGCTCGCACCCATGTCAATACTGCGGTAAAATGTTCCGCAGTCTGACGAGTCGTGCCAAGCACGTCCTGAGTCACGCCATCGGACCAAAACACATTGAACAGCACACCTGCAATATTTGTGGAAGCAGTTTCACGAACAAAGGAAGTCTGGAACGCCATGCTCGCATTCACAGTAGTGAAATATATTCGTGTAAGTACTGTTCAAGTACTTTCTACAGTTCACCAGGCCTTACTAGACATATTAACAAGTGCCATCCTTCTGAAAACAGACAAGTGATTTTACTGCAATTGCCTGTCCAGCAGTAATTGTTATCAGCCAGATCACCACACTAGCCAAAGTACATTTAAATCAACATTATTTTACAGATATTTTTTTTTTTTTACAAACTATAGCGGCATGTGCTCCGTGCCATGCCATGCCATGTCATGCCGGTACAATAACATACGCGAATAGAACACAAATCATTTGACGTACCAGCATGTTTAACTGAATGATACTTTCACGCTGTTAAAGTGCGCTTTACTGTAAAACAACCTTTGAGGAGAGTTCATGAGGGGGAGGGGTTAAGAAACAGAAAAAAAACAAGCATGCTGCCTACAATTTATTTATTTTTTGGACAAATTCTGGTCGGGCAATACGCAATATGTCACCACAGCAGTGGATTTTAACAAAACGGCATACATCATGCTATATTCTATTATTCAAATATTTAACAGAAATTTTGTCATACACCGAGTCAGAGATACATGTCGAAAATAATATATTTATCTGATTGCCTCAATTCATGTTTGCACCATTTGCAATACTTATACTTTCCTTTTGGACTTAACAGATGCACTTTAATTTATTCATAAATGAGAATGAATACATTACAGTACAGTTTTGAGCAACTTTGCTGTGTGAATTGTCTTACATAGTAACACATGTGCAACATAAATGAAATATTAAGAGAAACATTATATGATCAATTTATTTATTTATTTTATTGTTACTTTCAGAGTATACTTAGGTTTATCTATCTATCTATATATATATACATATATATAGGCAATACTTGTGTTTATTTCATCCGTGTGTATGATCACGGCTATGTGCAACCGAACGTATAGCGTCCATCTGAATTCTTTAAACATTTTAAAACATAATGCTTTACTGAGTCATCATTTATTAGGGTCGTTTTCATTCAGGGAGGTGTCAAAACCACGCTGAGCCAAAGAATACAGTGTGCAAATGCTCCCGTCCGTGTAAGTTATAAAATAGCGCCGGGTGGTTTATTTTGACGCCCGGGTTACTTAAAAAAATCAAACCCATAAGCATTATTTGAGATTTTATGTTGTACAAGAGTTATTTTCCCTCTATCTTTTAACAAAGTGATCTGAATATTTTAATTGATGTTTCTAAATGTTTTCCCTCATTTTTTATTCTGTCGTGGTATTTATTATAATGATAACAAAGGAGGAGAACAAAGCCCTTTGTCATCATCTGAACTTTTGCATATCATTGAACACTGGGAGAGATCCCCCTATATCGATTACAGCGCCTTGATGCGTACATTGCCTTAAACAAAGAAAAGAAATTGGCGGATATTTTTCCGAGAGAGATTTTTATATCTATTGTATTTTGCATCAAAACTGAGAAAGGTAATTTTTTATAACGGTGTGTAATATATTTCAGTTGAAACTGAGCAGATTTCGGTACATTTTTTATGTAATGTATTTTTAGAGTTGGGAAAAGTATAATGGCGACTACCAACAGCTACCATTAAGTATGTTATTTTTTTTGGTAAAAAAAACGTGTTTTTTCCCCTGAAATTATGGAATATTGTTAAATTTTAATATATATTCGCAAGTTTAAATGGAAATAATAATAAAGAACGAAAGTATGTGGCTTTCTATACGAGATAAATATCGAGTTTCTGACATTTATATGTAAGACCAAATATCCCACATTTCCCGTATTATGTTAATCAAGGACTTAGAGTTCGCAATTATAATCATTTTTACTGATGTCTCACAACATATAAATCTATACTGGAAGTTTCATCAAATATCCCTTAATAATATTCATTGGTAAAAAGCCACTCTTTGCTCGGTATTTTATATCGTCATGACAACAACGGCGGATCGAACTTCTGAAGTTGAGACGATAAAAAAAAAAAAGAGTGTGGTGAATTCATTGTTGTATTATGCAAATTGAAGCCATGAGTCATCAATAGCGGGCCCCATAGTACTGACTATCGAGTGCTTTGTTTACAAGCCATCTAAACCTGAGTTCCAAAATGAAAAAAAAAAAAAAAAGTTTTATAACTTAATGTAACCTCCTATATGATATTGAATGTTTTCAACACAGCCGGCAAATTCTTATACTCAAAGGCAACGAGCACCCCGAGTTACAATACGGTCGTGGGTAGCAGATGGAGATGGGGGTCACGTGACAACACAAGCGTCGGAAGTTCTCGTATCAATTATGTGGTTTCTATACAGTCATTTTTGACTGAACGTCCGTCGTCCATGCAAAATACAGTCGTCATGTCTCTCGGTATATTGTCTGCCTATGTGTGCACTGGGGTTGAAACGAATTCTTGGTTCTTCTACTAAATATGATGGCATTTTAGTGAGCCAAAAAAAATACAATACTTTTAAATTAATACATCTCCGTTGCTAATCAAATCTACAACCCGTTTATTTTTACAACTGTCTGAGTGCCTTCAAATTGGCAAATACAGTATCAGTGTGTCTATATGATTAGGATGGAATGCTTTCATTGCCAACCGTTTCTCCGTCCTCACCAATGGAAAATATATCTACATTCTCTCTAGAATTTCAAACATTCAAGCTGGGCCGTTTGTTTTATCGCAAAGCTGTCTCGGACGTACCAGCGGAATGTAACTATACCAGCACAAAAATCATTTTAGGTCATTCTATTTCGATTTATGCCCATGCGTGGTCTTTATGTTGATCATTGACAAGCAGTGTTATGTGCACGCAAACTTAGTTAACAAGTGATTACATCGTGAGAGATACCCCTGCGATATATTAACTATGAAAGAGCCTCCTTCAAATTAATGGTCGGGGGAAAAAATATTCTCAATCGGACAAAGACTGGGGCGAGCTATGAGTATATTATTGTTGGTGCTCAACGACCCGGAACTTTGCAGTTTTGGGAGCACGTTCTTCTCAATATTTACATTCCCGGAAAAAAACGAGCCTACCCAACACGTCATAAAATCCCATTTGATGACCTTATAACCATTCAGAACAAGGTCGATGAAGACAAAGAGCGTACATATAAGAATTAATGTCCAGCGTCTTGGTATGGACGCGCACCTGGTCCATAAGACGCGATGTTTGAAGAGCGTCGTGGCGTGGCCTTAATAGTCAGCGAAAAGTAAGTTAAAGAGCTCGGCGATTACCAGCTTGATTTATGCAAGATGGCTATACATGATACCAATGACCAATGAGAGGAGGGGAAGATAGACCAAATTTCTCACACGAATCCGGGATTTAGTTCAAGTTCAATGTAGTGTGTAACATTTAGTCATTAGGTTAACATATATGTAATTCGCGTTCAAATTCACAAATATCAAGAAAACACAAATATATATATATATATATATAGTATTTGTTCATCAGTGGATATCTAATGACAGTATGAATGTCATGTAGAGAGTATTGCTTGTTGTTGTTGATAATGTTTAGTGTTTAGTTTATGTTAATTGCTACTGAATCTAACACGTATTGTATTGTATATATCCAATACCGGCATTGCGGAAACGAACACATTTATATGTGAATAAATACAAATCGGGGATCGATGTGATGACTTCAGATTCACAGATTTAAAAAAAAATCCCTACTCCGAGAGCACATGAATGAGGCTTGAAAGACGAATATTGACACCGGAACTTTTAATTGTCAAGATGATTACAATACCCAATAAAATAATGATAGTAATTTGGGAACCAATATGGGTGGTGATCACGGACCGCAGTAGTGGCATTTGAATGAATTACTAGTAATTGCAGTGAACTGTTAAATACTTTTTATATCTGCAAAAGTTTTTTTTTTTAATTCGACACAAAAACGAGCAATTAGTATTTAATTTAGCTTTCCCTTACTTTGTCACTTCCTCACTCATTTCCTAATGTGTGAAAAACGTAGAATGTTAGACACAACTACGGTTATATAGACGCGGCTCAGTTCTTTGCGCTCAAAAGTAATCTCATAACCATATTCGCATTTGTATTCAAGATCCATAAATGCAAATTGCATAATAATTCGGATATTGTGGGGGTGGTGACATTTAACGTAAAGTTTGGCATCACGCAGACGGGGTATCTATAGCTATACCTATATGCAATGTGGGACGATTCACGCCCAGTGGGAACGTCTCGAGACTACCTATAGTCACCGGAAATGATTACTACCACATAATCACGTGATCATATCCACTGCTGCCGCTGGCAAATACAGCGCTACCATCATCCCCAGTAACGTTCACTGGTAACCAAGGCGACTGAGTATAAAAACAAATGACGCCGTTTTGACAGATAATACTGTTGATGTACGATTGGTGGGTACGCGGGAGTTTTAATAAACAAGCCATCCCAAAAATAATAAACTATTTGACACGATACTTTGGAAAATAGTTGCCCTTACCCACAATACATATCGATCACGTCAGACAAGATACTTCCGCTTTGGAGTGCTCACATGTGTGCAAAAGAAGTGGGAGCCTTCGAGAAAAATACATACCCTTTCGTAAACGAACACATATATGTTTATGTTTTTAAAAAAGAGAAAAGCATTCACGGGAATTTTAAGCCAAATGGATAATCGTTAATAAACGCAGTTGATAATGTAATTTTCCAGTGATACCTGAATCAACCGCATAGACCTTGACTACTTTTGGATATTTTGGAAATCATATGTTGAATCATTTTCATGTCATGTCGCCATAGTGACCGTGCATACATATTAAAATACCCAAATTTTGCGAAATATGATACAGAATAAAGTCGATGTATATACCAAGTCTACATATATCACGTTTGAATCGTAACACCGTCTTCAGACTCACGAAAGCCACGGGTCTTCTTTGATATAGCTGTATGTTCATTTCATCACCAAGCTGCATCCGTTCGTATTGTAACAAAATAAACTGATATCAGCGAATCGTGATTGATAATGGAATTTTATATTTCCGAGTTTTTATCTATTTTTTTATTTCTACACATATGTACTACATAGTCGAAAATAACATGGCCATTAGTTGTTGACGTAACACGGAATTCACAACTTTCGTCATTTCCTTATATGGCGTGGGGACTAGATATATAATCAAAATAAAGAGCGGAGATGTATTACTATATATCATGTTGAAGATTTGTTATTCCCCTTTCGCTTAGAAAAAAAGTTAAAAACACGACCACCTGTTGACAATTCATTCACAGTTTGTGGTGTTTATGCTTTATTTGAATCCATGTTCAACATTATTTACTCGGTATTGAACTGCAATGGAAACGACCATCTTCGTGTATACCAATTGACCCGAGGAATAAAATAATCTACTCTACGAATTAGTAAAGGGCAAGGCATTGGCAGAGAAGGAATTATATCAAGTTTTAATGGCGCCAACGCAAACTACAGACAAGTACGCGGTGTATTATGTCTATGGGCTCTTGTTTCGGATGAAAACTGATAGTATAAATCAATAAACAAAACAACATTTTCTAGAGATTTTTCTGTCTTTTTCCCCGTTAACTCCCGTGGTTTCAAGGCATTCAATGGAAGCTTATTTGTCACGATGCACTCCAGGCCATCTTTGGAATTAAATATCGTTAGTGAAATTGAATAGCTACATAATGTATATTTATCGCAGTGACACTGAAATCGCAACATAATCAATTCACCAAATGTTCAACTACAAATAAAAATCCAAATGTACGAAATTTGTAAACCTGATCCAAGAAACGTAAAAAAAACATTTGAAGATGCTTGCGGATGGAATATATAAGAAAGGTTTTACATACGTGAGTGAGTTGAAACATTAATAGAACTGTTTTTCGCACACCACGTCGTGGTTTTTGTTGTTGTTGATGATGATGTTAACATTATTTATTTACATTTATGTAAAGAAAAAAAAATGCGAAACTTGCGCAGCAATCAAAAAGCTGAAAAATGTATTGGATTGATTGATCCATTCTATATTTCATGGCCATTACCGCCAGCTATATTCCTGATTTAACAACTCGCAACCGTAACAATATGACGTTCTGTAAGTAACATCATATGTTGTGAAATGATAGTGTTTTGCAGCAAAAGGAGGGGCGCTTTTTACGGCATGATACCCGTTATTTTATGTACGAGCCATTTTCTATTGTTTTCGCTTGCATTATAATTATTATACCGTAAAAGATGAATAAGGTTAAGTTGTATTACAGTTCTCAAAGGGAAAGCGATATTCTAAATAATTCTTCCAATTCAAAACGTGTGTTATGATTGATTCAACCAATGTCGCTTTAATACAGTGACGTTTTCTCTCTTATGAGTTAATAAACATTCGTGTGAAACCAATCTAAAAAAAATCCCATTGTTGGGGTATACCATCATCGCAAGATTCACAACTCCAACTGTACTAATGCGTCTAGATACCATGGTAGTCATTGGCTAAATTGCGTAATCTAAAATAACGATAATATATGTAATCTAACGTTTAATATATTCATCTGAACTATCCGTTAGAGGGTTTTCAGAACGGAACTGTAAAATTAAACGCGACATCAAAGCAGTCGTTACATCTTAATAAACTTTCTATAAAAAATGTGTGAACAAGTAAACGAAAGTAACGTAGTCATGTTTATTGGAGCATGCGCATTAGGCGCATTACACAACCTGGAAGC